TCCAAGAAAAATTATCTTGGGAAAGAGGCTGGGATATTTGTTTTAAGTGTGCTTCTCTACTTGTATTTCTGATTTTGGAAGTTTTATCCTTTTTTCCCTGATTCTGTAAACGAAAATTTGTCTCCCACCTCCCAGCAGTTTTGAGATGCTAGCTCAGGATCCCAAGTGAGTGAAGTCTCCCAGCCCCCATCAGGGACCACTCTAGCTAGAGAAAAATCAAAGAAAATACTTCAGGCACTAGATCCTGCCTTTATCCAGCTTCAGGAGACTGAGAGACAAACACACCAACCAAAACGGGGCATAAGCAAGAAATGGCGCAAGACACAGGGCCTCAACTCGCACAAAGAGAGAGCACCAGTCACACAAAAAATTGCCACCGAAGCCACCAATAAATAGTCAGACATATTTTATAAATGTCCTAAAATTCTTGTACAGAAAAGAAGGAATAAAAGCTAATACTGAGAGATTGTATCTTTCCATTTTTAATTTAAAGAAACATAATTAGTGATTTTCATATTTTTTCTTCATTATATGAATTTGCTATTCTGAATTCGCAGGAGTACTAAAAACATAGCCATTAAAAAAAGAGAATACAAAAAATATTTTAGCAGAGTGTTTACACAGAACTGGATGTTTTGTGTATGATTAGTTTTTATTTGCTTTATTTTATTTTTTGAACATATAGTGGCAGAAAGGGAAAGAAAGCCATACTGGTAAGGCTTTTTGAGATGAAACAGTGTAGCAAAATCTGAGTTTTATACTTGGTTTTTAAACTATTGAATAATATCCTATGAGACCTCTTAGGTCTTAACTGGATTAAAATGAATATATTTGTGTTCCACTCTTTTCAGTTAACTAATGTGCATGTGAATTGATAATGTGTGAGGGAGCAGGTGAGAGAAAGTGTATGTGACACTGGGAGTGGATTGTAGGGGACAGGCTGGGTATATCCATGTGAAGGAGTGTGCAGGCCGGTGTGGGTTGCCCCTAAGAGTGAGAGCAATGAAATTGAGCAGGCCTTGGGGTCTGGCGCGTTTTGTCAGGAGCCACAGGAGCAGCTTAGTGGGACATGACGGGGGAGGAAAAGGGTGGTGGTAAAGGGAGGGTGGAGAAGGGGGTGTGGCATGTGAGAGTGTGTGTGTGTGTGTGTGTGTGTGTGTGTGTGTGTGTGTGTGTGTGAGCGAGCGTGTGTGTATGTGTGCGTGTGTATGGAGGAAGTGGCTCTGAGGTTTCAGTTATGGCTGAGCCTTGTGTTTTTGTTTTGTTGGTTCCCAGCATAAAAAGGCTGGAGTTTCAGGTTCAGGGTGGAGTATAGGCAAAGGGATCCTCATTCGGAGAGTTTCTCTCTCTGGCCTTCCCTGTAGTTGCTGTTCAGAACATTGCTGCTGGGAAGTTAGGAGTGGGGGGAGAAGCAAGGGATGGGGGTCTGTCTGCAGCTGCCCCTCTCACACTTGAATAAAAGAACTTTTTTTTTTTTTCAGGGGTAGGGAAGCTGTGAATACCTTTCCCAATAAGAGATGAGGCATATTGAAAACTATATTAAATTACCCTGATTAACAATTTAGCCACGAACAGGGGAGCTTTGGGAGATCTCTATAGGCAGGACTGGGGGCTATTCATGCCAGCAGCTAAGAGGTCGAAAGGTTTCTGAAGTTCACAGGCTCAGAGCCTTTGTTATGCTAACAGACAATCTCAAATCAGCTGCCTAGTGGAGTGTGAAATATAAATGATTCCTTGAGAACTTCCAATAAGTTGTCACTCTTGCTCTCCAAATACCAGGACAGGCTGCTAATTTCTAGCAGGCCCTTTTGCAACATTGCTAGTCCTAAATGAATGCCTTTGTAGTTCAAATAATCTTTTCAAGGGAGCTGTCCTATCATCATAGCCCAAATGCATCTTGGTTTTGACTATTAAATGAAAATCAGGGCTCAGCCGTGCTTGACTTTTCCAAGCAGCCGATGTTTGGGAAGGGTGGTGGCAGCTCTCATGCACAACAAGTTAGCACCCACTGCAGGAGGCCCAGGGCATTAATAACAACCCACAGCCCCAGCTACCCCAACTCTCACCCCCACTCCCTACCAGGAACAAAGCTTCCAGAGAGATTTACGGGGGCTTCCCTCAGGCTGGACTACCTTCCTCTTTCAATCATACCAACATTTCTCAGATTTATGGACCCTCTGTCCAACAGGATGGCCAGCTGACCTGCTAGCATCTGACTGGTCACTTCGAAGAATCAACTTTGGGGATGAACGTATTCATTCTTCAGGGCAGACAAGGCCAAGAAGAAGAGGACAAGGTGTGTGTCCAGGCTATGTCCCTAGTATCAACTGCTTGTAGATATTACCTTATTATTTTCCTCTAAGAAGGATACAAACATGGTTTGTGATCTTGGGTGTGACCTTTGAGCATTTACAGATGGATAAAAAAAAAAAAGTCCAGGATCTTTGAATCTGAATACAAATCTTTTAAAATAAGGAACCCCCACCCCCTGCCATTCCAAACCTCAGAAGCTGGGGGAAGTGAGAATAAGAATCTATTAAGAAGAGTATGCCCAAAATAAACCTTCTAGTGGGAGGGACAAGGCCAATTTACACAAATGAGAAAACATACCAAATAGAGGCCAGAAACCAAAGGAAATTAAAAAACCATCTGCATCAGTCTTCACAAAGGAATAGCAGTAATAACTTAGGTCCTAAAATTTTTAATATTTCTACTTCACATTCTCAACTTTTTGCTGAAAAACAAAAAAGGTCCATAATATTACAGAAGCTTCTGCTTTTTTTCAAATAGAGCAGGTTTGAATTTTTGAGGCAAGAAATCTAATGGACCACATCTCTTAATACATTCTTGGGGTAAGTTATATAAACACAGAAACAATATTTTTAAATATGTCCTCAAGTAACTTCATAAAGCTGAAGGATATAGTTATATAGAAAAATCAAGGTCCTTGATTTTCATTCTCATGTTCCTTTAATTAAAACAATTTAAAAATTCTACATCAAAAATATTTTGGGGGACTTTGTTTTGATTGGCATAGAAACTGATTTAAGTAAACACTTTTTTGTTTCCGAGGTATACTAAGATTTATGGCCATATATTAAAACGTGACTTACATATCAGGAAGAATGGTAATGTGACTTTCATCAGTTTTGAAATCATCTAGCTTACACATTTAATTCTTGTTTTTCTGTTTTTTTTTTTTTTTTTCAAAATCCAGGATACAAACCACAATCCTAAAGGACTCTGTGATTTAGCTCAGAGAATTTGGTTGACAGAGTAGGAGAATGTTTAGGAACCAGGTCATTGTTTGTCTTTCAGATCCTTATTTGCTTCACTCAGTAAAACAAACTGTAAATAATATTGCCTAGGAAAATTAGTTCAGATTACTAACATTAAGGAAGTAAAAGTTTATAGTTTCTTCTGCCAAATATCAGAATTAGACAATAATTTGTTATTGATTGGCTCATACTCTTTTCAGAGGGACTTAGCATCCTTGTTCTCCTTATGTTAGAGACAAAATTAGGAGACACTTGGCTTGGCTCAGGACACACTTCTTATTACACAATAAGAAGACAACATTGATAGCTGAAAATTTAGTGGATGTGATACAATGGGCTTAAATTTAGCTTTTCATCCTTTTTCAATTTAAAAAAATTTAATCAATATTAAACTATAGAATGTCTGCATGTTATTGACACATGCAGGACATTCAAAGAAGAAATACTGTCCCTGTGCTTTCCAAATACTTATTTTACCACTTCGAAGTGTCCTCTCTCTTTCCGTCTTTAACACATCAAAACAGGGAAGAAAGCGCTTTTGTGTTATAACTACAGAGAAAACATTTGAGAATGTGTCAATGCACTGAATACCAGCACCAGTTTGGGGGTTGGTTTGTTTTTCCCCCTGCCGTGGTATTTCTTTTCCCTTTGCTTTTTCAGTCTTTAAACTCTGGCCACTTTGAGAAAAGCAATGGTCAAAATGAAAAGTTAGGACAAATTGCATTAAACCTGTGTGTTGGCCAGAATATGAGCATGATGAAAGCAGTGTTGGGACATTACAGAGCCATAGCAGCTCTCCATACACTGAAAAATAAAATAAAAATAAAAAGTAAAAGTTGATCTCTTACTTTTTGCTAAATACTTATGATCTAAGAGAAAGGGAATTCCTGTTTAAAAAAAAAAAAAAGTTTCCAGGGTTGCCATTTTTCCATGGTGGAGGGGGGGTCTGACTGTGTGTGTTTGTGTGCGTGCATGTGAGTGTGTGTTTGGGGGAAAAAAGACAGAAAGGGGGAGGAGGAAGGGCAGATAACTTTACTGACATATTAATTCTTTAGATAGCAGCAAATGAATGGTCCAAATAGACATTTGTTTCCCTTAATAGGTTTTGTACAGGTCTCTTACAAGCTGTGGCATATGCTTCATTTATATGTATATTTATTTAGAAGGATAGAGAATAATAGGTGTAGTTTGTCTATAGTCGCAGTTATTATTTAAAGTCCAAAGAGGTTACAAGTTTTTTTGTACTCCAAACACAAATACAAAGGTCTCTTGAATATGCCTCTTGCTTTCTGCTGAGGGCCAATTAAAAATAAAGATAATATTCTAACTATTGAGCCTTAGCAAGACTAAGAATGAGGCTAAAAGGCAAAATGCTTTCAAGATGGCTGCCACTTCCTTCTTCCTCCTCCTTACTGCCTGTTTTCCACACAGAAATTAATGTAATATTTTGTTTAGAAATCACATTGTAGGTCATTTGCAAATGAGACAGCCTCTGAGGCCTCAACATCTGCCTAGAATACCCTCATGATGCTATCGAGGTATGCAGAGAGATTAAAATGCAAACATTCAAATGCAGTTAGGTTTGTACATAGTGACTAGACTCACACACATACACACTTGAACGTGTGAACAACACACACAGCTGCAAATGAAATAAAAGGCCAAAATCCTTCTTAATTCTTAGGACAGAAGGGCAAAGGAGGGCGCCAGGCCGCCACCTACCTCCCCAAAGGTTGGAAAATGCACTGTTCATGGTGTGGATTCGATTTTTTAAAAAAGATATATCTTACTGATGACTCTCTCATTAGGCAGACTTCTGAAGTCTGGGGAGACAAGATTTCCATAAATTATCTCTCTAATTCATCTCATGCTGGTGCAAAATGCAAAGCTAAAAATTTTTTTTTAATTTTTGTATTTTTTAAAAAGAGAGGATATGAAGCTAACCAGTATCTTTTCAATCTTGTTAAAGGATTTGATCACTAGTAACGTTACTATTAATTATGATAAATATGTTTTTAATCATAAAAATCCCACCCATAAAGCTAAATTTGAAATAATGTAGGGAATAAATAAAAGTATATTTGGCGTTTTCTAACAGATTTATAGCAGCTTACTGTGGAGACTTGAGGGCACTAGGCATAGAACAAAGCAAATGGTTTAGTTCCTATAGGAAATATATTAGAAAGGAAAAAAGGGAAAAAAAAAAAAAAAACAACCCACAACCCTTTATCTAAAAGCCATCAGGGACAAGCACTCAATACAAGTTAACAAGCAGGAACTGATAAGATAACATTTATATGAGGTCAGAAGTCAAATGCCAGTCAAAGGCTTTTAACCTCTTGGGTCATAAACAGGAATAGTTAAAAGTGAGAGGTAGTTATTTATCGGATTTTAAGTGTACCTGATCATTGCCAGAGAATTTCCGATGATGAAACTAATTGGGATTTATAGAAAAAGAACTTTGTAGCTGTTCAAAGAAAATTAACCTACACACCCACAATTCTTCAATTGGTAGGGAGAAAAACAAACAAACAAAAAATCCTTTGTGTGTGTGTGGTGGGGGGACAAATCTGGTAATTTAAACAGTTTTAATAAACAAAGTCTCTCTCAGAAGCAGTAATTTATGGCTGATGTACATATCAACTAAAATATAGTAAATTATATTTATACAAATTTAACAACAAAAATAAGCATTCTCATAATTTATTTTCATTTTTTCTTCTTTTTCTTTTACTACCTTTCAGACCTCCTAAATTAGACAGAATACAACTCCAAAATCACAATACTTCTTGCCCTCAGAATGCCATCATCTATAAATTTAAAATTATATATATTCTAATAGCAATTATTTTAAAACATCAGAATATTGAAACAGCTTAAAATTTTATCTTAATCTATCCAGAGAAACAGATGTCATCTTTTATTTGCTGCAGGAATATTTTTTCTTTGTTTTGATTTTTGTCCTTTTCTTCTTTCTTTCCTTTTTTAGGTTTACATTTCAAACTCCCAAGCATTTCCTGATCCCTGAGTCCATGCAGGTTTATATTTTCAAAGCATACCCACCCTCCTTTTTTTTCCTTTTGCAATAAAAGAAAGCAGATCTAGATATTTCTTTCTAGAAAGAGATAGAGGGATTGTTGTTAGGCCTGCTAAGGCCCACTGTTTCTTTAAACAGAGTCCACAATACACTAGGCGAACATTGTGGATTTAAAATGCTTTTAAATATTTATCACTAGTATTTTATCATCATATTCAAATGACACCTGGCGTGCACTCACCTTTATTGACAATCTCTGTTCTGAAAGTCCATTTGCTTCCTTAAAGCCCCCCAAGCAGAACAAGGACTACCCGTTTTCATTCAGTTAATGTTTAGTAAAAAACCAAGCAACCTTAATCAGCATGCTGATTGCATCGTCAACTAACAAATAATTTACTACTCTGAGCATTGCATTCCATTAAAAGCTCATTAAATTTTCTGTTCTCCAATGGGAGGTTTAGCTTTTGAACTGCATGCTTTTGCTTCGAATGATCATTTATTCAATTTTTGCAAAATGTTGTGGGGTTTTTTTTTCCTCCTAAAGTATAGGTAAGCATTTCAATACCTATAGACTGTGAACATATGGAAACACAGCCCAGGGTTTGAGAATGTTCTATTTGATTTATAAACTCTGTTTAACAAAAATTCAACACCAATCTCTTATACTTTTAGGACAGCCTGGAAAAATTGAGTATACATGTGATCTAAACATAGCCTCAGAAATATTAATACATAACATAAAATATCAAATCCTTTTTTACGCTTATTCTTTTCCACATATATTGTTATTTTTATTCTTGAACATAGTTGTTGTCTACTGATTCAAAAGGGGCATGACATCACAAAGCCCTTACCCTATTTGATGCCAAACTTAATACCTCAGGGGGTGGGTGGTGGTGGTGGTGGTGGCGGCTGGTTACCCAAAGAAATCCACATTTTCTGAGGTTTGCACATTTTTTACAAACCCCTAATCCTCTGAATTATTTTCATGCCCAGACTTGTCTAGGAAAGCATATATTTATTATTTTTAATATAGGGAAATGCAGAAAAAAAATATCAGGCCCCAAATTAACATGCATCTTTGGATGGCTAATTGTGTTCATTGCAAATTTGGGTCATTTTGCATGAGTGACTCTAATGTGGGGCTGAGATTGCCACGCAGCTCAGTGGATTCCTGATTCCCCGCGCTAATCCTGAGCTCCGTGATTGTGTCAGGTGCAGTTCTGTATGCTCTAGCAGCTGGCTCATCCTCATCAATGCAAATAAGGCAACTCCTACAATCAGGGCCTCACGAGTGTGAGGCCTGATTGCTGAGGGCAGGCTAAAGCACTACACAGACTCTCACTTTCAAATCACGCTAAGTGACAAGACAACTGCAGTGTCCCTCCAGTTCAAAATCAACCTTTAGAAAACAAAACAAGAAGAAGGGGATGGTTACAAAGAAGAGGAAAACCTCAGTGTTTGGGAAGTGGACTCTTTTAGACGGGCTTTATTTAGGTACAGAAACAAAGTGCATTTCAACAAATAATTATTTAGCTCCTATTCTGTGCAAGAGACTTTGTTTTAAGAGCCGTGGGGGATGCAAAGGTAAGGGAGACATAGTCCCTGCCTTCAAGGGACCCTATGATTTGATTGCAGAAAATTGTAAAGATTAAGATAATAACAGAACTATCATTAAGGAGCAGTCACCAAAATCTTAAATGAAAACCATAAAACATACTTTTAACAGAAGTATTTAGAGATAGCATTATGGATAGATGTTGAAAGTGACGCTTTAGAAGCTCCAGGTTCAAATCCCAGCTTTGCCACTTACTTTCTTCAAGTTACTTCCCCCTTCTAAACTGTATATCATCATCTGCAAGATCCTGGTAGGGCAAGTACCTACTTCATAGGAATGAAATGAGACTGCATAAATAACACACCACCAGTTTGGCATATAGTAAGTGCTCAGTAATGTCAGTTGTGATTATTATTATTTCCTCCTTAACACACAAAGAAAGGAGAAATGGAGAAATAAAAATTTGCCACAGTTTGAAAGACATTTATTTGATCTTTTCTCTAAATTCTCATTTTACGTGTAGCACTTACTCTATGTAAGTGAAAATACTGTGAACGCTAAAAAGTCCTGTGTCTCCCAGTGGCATCTGGACAACCCTGGCTACTTGGAACACGAAGGAGAGAACAAGAAATCCCTGTGCTTTTCCTTTTCTTCTTTTCCAAACAAGTGTGCAGACTTCCCCTGCATTTCAGCCCCACCCTCTTTATTTTACTGCCTAATCTATAAAGGGGGATTAGCAGCAGCATGCTGCTTTGGCATGGAGCAGATTCTGGGTGAGGACCTGTAGGTAGAGTTTAATGAATACAATTTTCTAGGGCTGTGAGTGCATATTTTTAGCTCCATGCTGGGCTCCAGTGTTGGCTCTTGAGACAGATGAACAGACCCTTTGATCAGACTTACATGTTGCTCCAAGAAGAACCTTTTTCAGAAAGAAGTTGGGGAAAAATGTCTTGTTTCCCTTACTCCTAATTTTCATTCCCTAGAATTCAGATTCCAGATAACTGCTCTCCCAAAAGTTGCATTACAACATCGAGATGCACCACTGTGGGGAGAAAAGGTGCCTTTGGGCAGGAATAGATCCACTTTCTCAAAAAAAGAGGATAGCTGGTGTGCAAGTGTGCAGCCGCCATCCTTTCCCCTTTGAGAGTAGGGTAGAGGTAGTTAACCTTCCTGGGGGAGGTTTGGCCTAGACAACATCATAGACACCATATCCCCCCTGGAGTTAACAAACAATAAAACTGCTTCCTTTGCCAAACACAAAGAATGGTCTGGAGTTGGGTATTAGCAAACAGCAAACTACATAAAGAAGAAAGGAAAGGAGGGTTGTAGAAGGAAGAAAAGAATAATAGAGCGAAGGACAGAAGAAAAGAAAGAAAATTACATTAAGAGAAAAGCATAAAATAAGATTCTTTTTCTTCTTTGGTTTGCCACAGAAAGGACAGCTGTCCAGTCTTGTCTTGAGTTCAGCTTGTGCCAGGCAAGGATGGGGAGGTGGAGAATAAAGAATTTTGATGTCAAGCCAAGCAGGTCAGAGATGACGGGCAGGGTCTTTGGGAAATAACTGTGGTTTTAGCACCTTGGCATTGGGAGAGTGTGCACAAGATAGAGAAGCATTTGATCTTTTGCATTCCTGCTCAGGACCTTCTCCTTCTCTTTCTAATAGGATTAACAGATATTTTCCTAAGCAGAAATCAAAATGTGTCAAATCATCTGAGACAGTCAATTTGTTCACAATGCCCACATTCTTGCAGTACAGATGCAGCACTATTCAAAAACAGTTTCATTTCAAGAGCTACAATGCAGCAGAGAGGTAAACATTTATCTTCATAATCTTACCCTCCTTTCAGACTGCTTAATTTTTCTCAGTGATTTTCCCCTCCTCTTTCACTCCCCCCCCCTCCTCAAGCCCCACCCCAGCTCAGCTTCAAAACATCTAGTACAAAAAGACATGACTTCCCCTGAGGATTCGGATCTCAGTGATCCTGATGATGCAATGTGTGCTCTCCATTATTCCTGAAGCTCCCTGGATGTGCATCTGTCTCCTGCCTCACAGCTCCAGTTATCCTGATTTTTACCTCACTTACAAATCTTCCTGCAAGGGTTACCTCCACTTCTTCCTCCCACCTCATCCCCTAGTTATCAGAACTCCATCCCCACCCCACCCCTACACTTCTTTTTTTATTGTTATTATTGCTATTATCATCCTCTCCACAAGCACAGTCCTCTTCTGCTTCTCCTTAGGGAAGCATTAAGTTGCCTTCCTTTGTGCTACCTTAAAACTGCTTGTCCTCCTCTACTCCTTTTGAACACCACAGACCAGTGTCACCTTTGGAACAATGAATGAAAGTAGTTAGAGTAGGATTCCAACTTCACATGGCTGGCATTCCTGAAAAATCACAAGCAGTTTTCATCCCTCTCCCCACCTGCCTTCCTTTTCATTGAGACTCCATAAGACAGCAGCAATTAGAACCTCTAAAATGAATAGAAACAATAGATACCGGTGTGTTTTATTCTTCATACTTGAATAATAGACGTTTAACAAGCAGAATAAAGACCTGATTTTATTTCTTTTTCTTACCGCTTGTTATAGTATAGACCTGGACTGTCCACCAAAGGCCCACATGTTGAAGGTTTGGTCCCCAACTTGGCACTATTGGGAAGTAGTGGAACCTTTAAAAGGTAGGGCCTGGTGGGAGGTTTTTGGTAATTGGAGCTTGCCCTCAAGGGGGACTGCGGGGCCCCAGTTTTTTCATCTTTCTCTTTTTTCATGTCCTGGCCATGAGGTGACTGGATTGGCTCTGCCATGCCTTCTGCAATCATGTGCTGCCTCACCACAGACCCAAAGCCACAGGGACAATCAATCATAGACTGGAACCTCCCAAACTGTGAGTCAGAATAAACCTTTTCTCTTTATAAGCTGATTTATCTCAGGTGTTTGTTAAAATGATAGATAGCTAACAAATCACTTGTATATTCAACATAGACATATAGCTCTTCAGAAAAGTGGATTCCTCACACTATTTCCATAACAACATATTTTCTATTGATGTATTTTAGATGTTTATTCAGCCTTACCGATCTGCATGATGTGATCATGGTGCCAAAATGTAATAAATTTGTCCGTTCTTCCTAGAAATCCCTTTCCACCATTGCCTTTCCAACCTGTTAAAATTCTACCCATTGTGCAAGGTCCAGTTACATCGAATCTCCTCTAAGACACTTCCTCAAATCCTCCCATAAGAGTTCTTCTTTCTCCCTCAGGACTTACACCTGCTGTATTTATGCCTCACTCTGTCATCTGTTAGAGTCACTTTAGCAATCTAGATATTGCTGATGTCTATCTGCACAACCAAACCGTGAGTCCTGTAAGACAAAGAACTTATTTCTTCCTTCATGGTTTCTCTGCCACCTTGAAGAGAGGGCCTAGCACAATCAGGTGTGTGAGTGCTGATTGAGGATGATGGCTTGGTCTTTTGAATCAGAGAAAACCCCACAGGTCCCTGTTTTGAGCTTGACTGAATCAGGAAGACATCAAGCCACCCCTGACCCACTTCTTCCACACCATTTCCACTTACATTTGACAGTGATTTTGAGGCTTCACTACATTAGAATTTTTAATATTTTTTCATCTAAATGCTCATCTTTAGTAAATACATAACAAGATGGATTGTGAAGTGAGGGAATTAAAAAGTGCTATCTTATATCTGAATGAATAAATCATTTATATTAGCTCTTCTGTTTCTAGGCTGCCCTGGAATTGGCAACAAATACCTAGGCATCAATACACTTTGATATGGTGTACTCATTTATTATTTTTTAAATTTTTTTAAGCATCTGACAAGTTGTTTACTGTGTCAACAGCATTGGCTTAAAAAGAAGTTGCTGTGCTACATGTGTTTGTT